GTATACGGGATGGGGTGGCCGCGGTTGTGAGGGGTGTGCAGGGGGGCGCGGAGGGGGCGCGTACCATGGCGAGTGCGGGGCGGGGGGGCAGCGCCGATCCGCCATCGCCTGAGGCGGCGGCGGCCTGGGCAGGGCGGCGCCGCCTCTCCCCCCTCCTTCCGTCCAAAAGCAAGGATTTAGGGGGTTATTAATTTTATTTGCGGATCAAGAGTGCCCGCATGACCTCGGCAGGGCGGGGTTTGGTGCTGAAACTCGGGTTCCGTGTGCCCCGCAGAGCTGCCGTCGGGGAGAGCGCCCGGGCGGACCTGCGCTTATCGGGATCTTCCGGCAGTGCCGTGAGGCAGCGCTGGCCGCCGCGGGCTCCGCTCCGCACCGAGCGCAGCCTCCGGGAAACCGCGGCCGCCCTGTGCCCGGCAGCCTGGGCCGAGCGCTCGGTGCGCTGCGATGAAGAGGTTGAAGAAATACGTGCTGTAAAGAGTCATCTGGATCGATGGCTTTGTGGTTCTGGGGCGTTCGGGTTCCTTCACGTTTGTCTCCTGTGCGTGCAGGAGCTGCTCGGGGCTCCGTGTGAGGCTGGGATTTCTGTTCCCTGTCAGCCGCTGGCATTCCCACAAGTCCTCCAGTGCAGCTATTGCACTTCGGGGCTGAACGCAGCTGGGTTTTGGTCCTGATGTAGCAGAATCTCCAGCGTCTGTCTTTTGCACGAAACCAAGAGCGGAGCATGGCATTTGGCCAGTTTCTGGAAACCCCAGTTCTCTGTCTGCATTCTCTTAAACTGTAACATAATAAGCCCTACGATAGCTATCTAAAATACTTCTTGTTTTGCATAGTTTCCCCGCAGCAATATCTTCGATAGCAGCTGGAGGAGATGCCTGCTGCTGACTTCTTTATTTCATATGTTCTTGTTCTTTCTGAAGGAGATCATAGCTAATCTCGGAGGAGTGCAGTTGAAATATTTACATGCAGTCTCCTGAGAAGTGATGTGTTCCCAATGTTTGGTATGGTTGACCATTTAAATGGTCAGCCTGTAATTCAGAAGGTACTGTGAGAGCATCCTGTATAGTTTACTTTAATGTAATGTGCTTCCTTGTTTAGTTAGAGGAGAGTATAAGACTAATCTGGAAAACAAGTACAGTTTCAAGGAGAAAATGTGGCCTGCTCAAAAGTATCTTGTGTTTAAAATAGTCTACAATTTGGAATTCTTGTTGAAACTTTCTTCTTTTTCTCTTGCCCTTCTCCAGAAGCCAAGAATCAGTAATGGTTCTAGTGTGCACTGTTTGCAAAACAAAACAACAAAAAGCATTTTTCAGCAGTCTGTACAAATCTGTGCTTGGCAGAGACTTGGAGTACATTTTGGTCTTCTGTCTGCTGGCCTTGCTGGTTGTCTGCTGCTGCTTTCACCTCGGAACGTGTAGTAGATATAGTTTGAGTCATACCCATCTTTGTGGGTTGAAGTGGGGCCGATTGCTGAGCACATAAAAGTCAGTTTGATCTTGTGTGAATCACTGTTCTGTAGCTCCAGCTTGCTCTGTGTCCTCTGCTCTCTAGGAGGGGTGAGCATGAAGTCACTCAGTGTTCCTACTGCTAAGCAGTAGCATTCAGATCAAATCTTCCCCTAGGCTGTCTGTTTTTTATGCTGCATTTCAAACTTTAGGTCCCCATAACGTCTTGGAAAGAGTTCTCACTCCTTTTTTTTAATGTTACATTGATGGAGTGGCAGTGATTGTGTTGTTTAACCCCAGCTGGCAAGAAAACACCACCCCAGCTGCTCGCTTATCTCCCCACCCTGCTGGGATGGGGAGGAGAGGCAAAAGTAAAACTTGCAGGTTGAGGTAACAGTTTAATAATTGAAGCAAAGTAAAATATAATAATGGTACATAATAGCATAATAATAATGAAAAGGAAACATGAACGAGTGATGGACAATATAGTTGCTTACCTACCTGCTGACTGATGCCAGACCCCTGCCAGCCCCCTCTGGGTAACTCCCCCAGTTTGTACACTGAGCAGGACATTCTGAGGTGTGGAATATCCCTGTGGCTGGTTTGGGTCACCTGTCCTGGCCATGCTCCCTCCCAGCTCTGTGGTGTACCTCCCCACTGGTAGAGCATGAAGCACAAAGAAGTCCTTGACTTAGAATGAACCCAACTTAGCAACAGCTAAAACCTCAGTGTGTTATCAGTGTTGTTCCAAGACTGAATCCAAAAAACAGTGCTGTATCAGCTACTGAGAAGAAATTAACTCTAGAAGAACATATATCTAGAAGAAATTAACTGCAGCCAAAACCAGGACAGACTGTTTCGTGTATACCAAATTCATCTGGTTGAAGCAGATGTTCTCTTGGAGAGCATAGTGTAATTTCTCAAAAAACCCAAAAATCACACTGAATTAGTGAAGAGTCGTCTGCTTTACATCAAAGCAGATTAGTGCCCAAATCTTTGGAGGAAAATGTTGGCTTTTGTACTAATCTTACTGAGTTTCCCACAGAGCCATGAACATGTTTTGCAGCTTCTTGTAAGAGGTGTTTGTGTGAGATCAAAGGATGGTCTCTTGCGTTCTTGTGTTCAGTGCCGGTCAAAAGTTCGAGCACAGAGAATGCTGAGGAAAGGTGAGGACAAGCACTGTGCCTGGAGCAGTGTCACAGCTGCACCTGTAACACCCTCTGTGATGGCAGCCTTGTGCAGCTGAGGTGAAAAACTGCTTCACTTCGGCTGAGGTGAAGAACTGAAGAGCTGTGGGAAGAACTGCTGCCTCTCAAAGCTGCTGGTGCTGTCTGCTAAGACAACTGTGGTGTGTAGGCAGAGGCAGCAAATAAAATCCCTGCTCCTGTTCCCCAGCCAGGAGGTTGCTTTGGGCTTTGCATGATATCCCTTATTATTGTTTCTTTCCATTCCACTTTGCTCTAGTGTTTGGGTTTTTTAGTGGTTGTAATGGTAATTACGCTGTGTACTTTTTATAAACGTGATATTTTGTAAGAGCTGTCGCTGCTTGTTACTGACCTGATTTCAGTTATTTGCTGGATGAACAGCTGTCCTTTGTCATCACTCTTTCTTGGGTCTCTCATACATAATGGCTTTGTAACTTCGTGGAAGCACAAATGGTTTTTCCCCCGGTGTATAGTGTAGAGCTGCAAGTAAACACCACATTTCAAATTGAGTGTCCACTGTGTAGTAATTAATCCAATTCTTGTTATTCCAGAGTTTTCTTGGAAACCTTTTCGTTCCTGTTTGTGAGATTGATGTTGTACTTAATGATGCCGAAACACGGAAACCTGCAGAAATCAAAACAGAAGATGGTAAAGTAGAGAAGCATTTTCTCTTCTACGATGGAGAATCTGTTTCAGGAAAGGTAAATTTTTATTTAAAAGTGACTATTAATCACTGTTCTGATTCAGGCATGCAAATGCATATTGGAAGGTAAATGAAAAACTGCTGTGAGAGCTGCATTTTCAGCTTGTGTTGTTACTCAAAGAGGAAACTGTTTTGCTATGTATGGTTTTTTTTAACCACAGTCATTCAGGCAGCTGATAGAAATCAACATTTTTGAATAGTAACTATTTATTTCCGGTCATCTGATATTTATGAATAAGCTTTTTATGCAATGATGTGCAATCTTGCTGTTGCTTCTGATGAGAAAACTGTTTCAAACAGGATCCACCTGCTTCCCCTTCCCTTTGAATTCCAAAATCCACAATCCAGTACAGGTAACAGTAATTTCTGGCTGGCACAGTCAAAAATTTGCACACCCTGAAGATAAGCCTTGCGTTCCATGCCCTGAAGTGATTTCTGGATTGCAACAGAGGAGCAACATATGTAGTTCAGCTGACTGCTGAGTCAACAAGAGTTTTACTTACTGGGAAAAGAGACAATGAAGTTGAGCTTTCCAGAGCAATTTCCCTACATTCAGTATTGCACCTAGGCACTCTTTACCATCACTCTGTTTTGCTGGAGCCATTCTCACACTCTGAGTATTTCTGTTAAGATTCACTTCTCCTTCAAAAGACTTGAGCCGGGTACTGTTGGGTTCTGAGATTGACTTCTGAGTGCCAACTTTGATCTTGACTGACCTACAGCACTGGGCATCTTCCTGCTCTGGCTATACCTTTCTGTAAAAAGATCTTGCTTCTCTGGAAATATCCTTGCAGGGATGTGAAGGGCCACGAGATGAGCCTCAAACCCAGGAAACTGAGGGAGAAGCTTATGATGACCTGATGGAGCAGTGCTTGCTTTTATTGGGGATGCCTGAGAGGTGCCTGATGAGTTTTGGCTAACACAGGCACAGTGGCATGAGGAGGTCTGGGAGACCAGAAGTTTTTTGGACAGCTTCTCTCTACCCCATCCTTTTTTTCACCACAGTGATGGATTGTTCCAGTGATTTACTTTCAACTCAAATAGTGACAGTGTACTGGATTTTTGTACAGGAATTTCTCTGGTCATCATGTCTTATAAGAAAACATTCTGTGTGCTTAGTATTTACATGTTTCTGTACAACGTAACCTTGTGGAATCCTTACTTACCTGTTTTTGAGAATCAGAGTCACAAATGAAAGTCTTCATAGTGGGTTTCATTATCTGTTATTTTTCATTGACTTAGCCAACACCAGTATTTAGCTGTCTGCCGGAGAAGGGACTGAAGCTCACATGACTTGAAAGGAATCAATCTCATGGCATTTCATTTTTGAACTTCCAGATGTGACTGTCAGAAGATGCGTTGAAGCATCACGACTGGCTCTGCTTGAGCTGTGGCTTGGTTACTTAATTTTGGGACTTGAAAGTTCCAATTTTAGTTATGAAATTCAGTCTTGTGGATGATTAGATTTTTCTTGAATGTTTTAGTGGTGCCTTGGAAATGCTTAATTTCATGATCAGCTGTTTGATTTGGCTGCCTTCAAGTTCTTGAGAAGAGATCTTGGTTTCCATAGGCATGTGCTAATAGGTTTTCCTTTTTACTGAGATTGTGTTAGAGTGAAAATGTTGAAAAAATTTAACTTGTGTGTGTTTTTTTGGTTTTTTTTACCTCGGTAGGTGAACGTCTCCCTTAAACATGGGAAGAGACTAGAGCACCAAGGAATTAGAATTGAATTTGTAGGACAAATTGGTGAGTTTGAGCTATAAGGGGGCTTTTAGGTGCTTGTGGTTAATGGAACTTGGCACTTGGGACTATCAGCAGTTTGGCTCAGACAATGCAACCTGTTCTGATCAGTGGGTGATAAGGGCCAGAGGAAAGTTGTTTTCCTTACTTTAAAGCAAAAGATGTACTAATTTGTGCTACTCAGAAAGTCACTGGGAGAAAGATACATACGTGGGAGGGAGAACTGGGTTGGTGAGTATTCAGTCTGTCTCAGACTAGCTAAAAATTGGATTAATAACCAGTAGAGATTCAAAAAAACTAAACTTGTGGTCTTCTCTGAAAGAGAAGAGGCATACGAAAGAAATTAAGAGGCAGCTTACAGCAAAATACTTTTAAAAATTTTATGGTAGTTGGTTTTATAAAACCTATTAGAAATGTAAATTCCTTATAACTACCAAAGTCTGCTTGGAGTTGAACTATGAGGAATCTTCTTACCAGTCCAGGTAGTCTCTCTGCACCCTTGGGCTGATGCTAAAACTCCTTCCTTCTCAGAGAGCTCTTTGCATTGTTGTCCCCCTTGGAAGTAATTGCTCAAGTTTCAGCCTCATACAATTGACTTCAAATGGAATTTCACAAATTCCCTGTTTCTCATCAGTCAGTAGGCTCCAGTAGTCTGTGTCTGAAGTGTTGTGTAGCAGTGTGTCTGAGACCTGGCACCTGCTGCTTTGTCCTTGGAGGTTTTGATCAGTAAGGTTGTAAAATTAAACTCTGAGAATAAAGCAGCACTGTCATGGGAGTGAGGCATATAGACAGAGGGAAAAAAAGAGCTCAGGTATGTCATCTTCATTTAGTCTGCTGTCTTCTAACAGCTGTACAGATTGTTTTTCATCTTGACTTACACATTTTATTCTCTAGATTAATTGAATTTGATGTAGTGTTTCTTGAAATTCATACCTTTCTGGGACTTTCTGTTATGGTACATTTGGAAGTCCACAGAGTTATGCAGACGTGGTTTAAACTACTGCTCTTTGTACTTGTCCATGTTTTCTTGCATCCTTCCAAGTGTCAGTATAGAAATGCAGAAAGGATTCCAGTAGTGTGATCTCTCTGCACTGTTTGCAGACTAACTCCGTATCAAAGCTGCATTTTAAACCAGCTCTTCAGAGTACAGCTTTTCTGACTGACTGGCACAAAAAGTATTTGATAGGCAGCATTAGATAAACTATGCATTAGATAAATGCTTGTCCCAGCAAACAAAGTACATTTTTAGACAATTTGTGGTCATATTAGAAATAGGAGTTACTAGTTAGTGTTAGTTCCTGCCACATTGGCAGTGATAAACTGTGGAGTTGGTCTGTTTAGTTCATTTATTCTCTTCTGAAAAACTTTGGTCTGTGTAACACCAACTACCAATGCTGATGTTCAGTTTTGAATGGTTGAGAAGCTTATTTTTAGATGCTGAAGTGTTTGGGTTTTGATTTTAGGGTAATTTTTGGTGAGAATTGCACGACACATATCTAGGAATTAATCACTGGCACTGCTCTGGGGACAGGAGATGCTGTTGCTGTGGAACTGCCTTTGTTTCCAAATGACTGATTTTGACCAGGGGTCATATTAAGCTATTTGACTGTAGACTGGTAGTAATAATAAATTATTTGCTAGATGTTTTTAATCTGCAGATCAGATTAGGATCACTGGCCTGTCCTAAATAAGGCAGTCCTGACGCTGCTTAGGCTTGTCCCTGCAGCAACAAATGCTGGAAGCCAAAACCAGGCAATGCTAATTACAGAGCATGCAAAGCAAGAAGTACTTATTAAAGCTAGCTAAACTGTCATTAACAAACAATGCCATGCTAGTGAAGCTCTCAGTGTGTTCTCTTCATTCCAGTTAGTTCTTTAGGGATGCTAACTGTAGGTTGCTAGAACTGAAGGTAATTCGAAAATCTGAATAAAACATTTGGTCAAATATGTGTATTTTAAGTTAATTGCTTCTGTTATACTCTCCCACCTGCTGCTGTCAAATTAAAGACAATTTTGTTTGCTAAAAATAAACACTGAAACATATTTTCCTTTAACTTTCTAACTTTAGAACTCTTCAATGACAAAAGCAATACCCATGAATTTGTAAATTTAGTGAAAGAACTGGCCTTACCCGGAGAACTGACCCAAAGCAGAAACTATGACTTTGAATTCATGCAGGTTGAAAAGCCATATGAGTCCTACATTGGTGCCAACGTCAGACTGAGGTTTGTAACTGCTAAACCTTTTTTTTTTCCCTCTCCTCCCCTGTAGAAAATTCATAATTTAGCAATTATGCTGCCCCCTCTTTCTTCCTTTTAGTTATTACATAGAACATGTAAAAGCCAGTAGTGTGCCTTGTTTGGAGTTGGGGAGATTTTAACACAATGTGGTCTTTTCTACTTAATTTGGAATCACTCAATGCTGTTTGTATAAATAAAATTCCTCCAGTTCAATCAAGTGAAGACAGTCCATGTCTCTCCTCTAAAAGAAAAACCCATAGCCACAACTGAAGAAAACACTCCCACATGTGTTTTGTCTTGCATTTTGGAATCTTACTCTTTTCTGCTTAGTCTTGAGATTGTACACTGGTCTTTCAAAGAATAGCTGTACTTCAGAAGATGAGGGCTCTTACTTAGTAAATCTGAATCATTCTGGCTAATCCAGTGGCTTTCTTCCTAGGTATTTTCTAAAAGTGACAATAGTGAGACGGCTGTCAGACTTGGTGAAAGAATATGATCTGATTGTTCACCAGCTCGCTACATACCCAGATGTAAACAACTCCATCAAAATGGAAGTAGGCATTGAAGACTGTCTCCACATAGAGTTTGAATACAATAAGTCAAAGTAAGTGTCAGAGAAAAATGCTTTTTAGTAAGTAACTTGGTATGAAAGGGTCCAGTATGTAATATATGGTGACCAACTTCACCTTCTGGAGACTTAAAATGTAAAGTACTAATTTCACAAAGGCCTTTTTGAGATATAGTTGGCTGTTCTGTCTTCAGTACTAACAGGAAGGTCATTAGCAAATATTTAAGCCTTATTTTTTGCATTTATGCCTTTACAGCATAAATAATAGCACTTCCTGTATTGATACTGATGGAATGATGGAAATATTGTAGTTGCTGTGGTCTGGCTAAGTGCTTAGTTCCCTGGGGAAGTAAGCTCCCAGTAGTTTCCAGGCAGATAGCTGCCTGTGTGACTTGTGTTCAAGAAAGTGCAAAACTTGTGTTTATTCTTTAACAAAATCCCCCATTTTGTTCTCTTAAAGGTATCACTTAAAGGATGTGATTGTTGGAAAAATTTATTTCCTCTTAGTGAGAATAAAAATTCAGCACATGGAGTTGCAGCTGATCAAAAAGGAGATTACTGGAATTGGTAAGAGAAACAAAGGCCAAATGAAATGGCAGCTTGTGTGCCAGTTGAGCCTTATGCAGACCTGGAGACTGAAGTCAGTAGTAGCAGTGCTGGCAGAACCAGTGCTCCACCAGCTTCTTTCTCACTGGTGTTTGGCTGCCATTTGCATTTTGTGCTTTGGCAATAATACTTCGTAGTCAGCACTGCCAGTCTGTTTAATTGCTCTGGGGTTGTGACTCTTGTGACTCTTCACAAATGTGAGCCCTTGTAAATGGAACTTGGACATAAATACACAGAAGTGTAATCAGCCTTAATAGATAAAGAACAAGGGAGGAGGTGTAAAATGCATCCTGAAGACCCCCTTGCCTCTACAGGGATTGACTGGTTAAGGGGGCTTAACATCAGCATGAATCACTCATGTTCTAGAAATGTGTCATTTTCTGTCATCCAGAAAAATGGATGTGATGGAAATACCAAGTGGCTTTGAAGCAGAAACAGCCTGATCATGGCAGATCAGGCTTGTACTCGCTGGAACAAGGCTGGAAGAGGCTGTGGCTCATGACACTTCACTCCCCAGTAGCTGGGGTTCTTGGGAGCTTCTTGTATGGAGAATGAGAAAGCTTCCACTGGAGGAAGGGCAGAAGGCTCTACTTTACTGCTGGCTCTTGAGCTGGCTGAGGACCCTTCAGTTCCCAGCTTGAGCGTGGCCTAGCAGTACCAGTTGCTACCACTGCTCACCGAGCAGAGCGGTTTCAGGATTCCAGACTCTCTTGCTTGTCCCTTATTTAAAGCTTGCATATCCAGGGCTCCTTTGAAGCTCTGGTGCCTGCCTCTGCTGTGTCAGTGTGGTGGGAGGAGAGTAAGAAAGATGTCCTGCCTGGGAGGGGGTTTTGCTGGCTTTAGCCATGTCTGACTTACATGCACGACAAAGGCAAAAAGGCAGTGCTGTGTTAGTTTAAAAGCTGCAGAATGAAAGTTGTTGAGATAAGGCTTTGTGAATGTTTAAAACTGAAGTGTGTGTTCTCACAGAGAACTTGTTTCACCAGGACCCAGTACCACAACAGAGACTGAAACTATTGCAAAGTACGAAATAATGGATGGTGCACCGGTTAAAGGTAAATAACTGTGATTGTTTTCAAGGGGGAGCATTTAGTGTTAAAATCCTATTTAAAAGGTGTATTTACTTTAAATTTAATTTAAATCCTGTTTAAAAGATCTGGAGCAGAAGAGAGGACTTACACTTTTTTTTTTTTAACTGAAGAAACCACACTTCTCCGTAGGTTATTGAAATGATGATGCATTTTCTACTTGGAGAAGACATTTTTATGGGCATTTAGGACATTTCCTTGGGGTCCTAGTAACTTTTACCTTTTACCTTTATTTACCATTGGAAATTCTGTGACTGATTCTTCCATCAAACCTGATTCCATGGTGTAGACCACCTCTAGAGAGTTCAAAATACTGATCCTTCTGGCTTTCCTGCTTGCACTGAGAAAGGGTCCTCACTTTTCATTTCATACTTGCTTCTGTGCTCAAGTGTTATATTTCTGATTTTTTGCTGGGTATTTTTATGTCTTGTGTGTGTTTCTTTGCTTTTTTTTTTAAGCAAGGAACAGCACAGACAGTGTTTGGGAAACTGCTTTTATTTTGCATGTCTTCTGAAACTGTACTAATTATTCCAGTTGTAAGGAACTAATTTAAGCTCTCTGTTTTTTGCAGGTGAATCGATCCCTATAAGATTGTTCTTGGCAGGCTATGACCCAACTCCAACAATGAGGGATGTGAACAAAAAATTTTCAGTGAGGTACTTCTTAAATCTGGTGCTTGTGGATGAAGAAGACAGACGATACTTCAAACAGCAGGTATGGTCTAGAGCAGTCCTGCTGCAGAATTACCTGGGCTGTTTCACTTGCTGCTTTGAACCTTCAGCAGCTTAGAAGGCACCTGTGCTTCGTGTGTGGCGTAAGCGTTTCTGCTGGCAAGTGTGCTGACAGCTCTGTAGATGATGTTACCCTGCAGAAAAGGAGCCAAGAGGGATGCTGGATGCTATTCCAGCAAGGACAGGGTGCTCAGTACCATGGAACTTGCTTTGGGGATACCCAGACAAAACTCTGGGTGGGTAAAATAAGTTACTGGTGCATTTGTTTGCTTCCTTAAACTGCTGCTTCTCCCCTCCTGCACTAGTTTTGAACCCTGGGTTCAGAACTGCAAAGTGTTAATAAGGACTGAACATTTGACTGAAAATGTTAGAGAAGATGAGGTGATGCTGAGGAAGGGGGTAGCCAAAAGAGTCACTGGAAGAAGCTGTGTGGATTAGATCAAAATCTTCCTATTACAAAGTAGACAAGACAGTGTAATTAAACATGGAAAACAAGAGGGAACTGGAGCATACACTGGCTATGGTAGGCTTTGGATTTTGAGAAAAGGAGGAAGAAAAATTTCTTGAACTCTTCAATACTATTAAAATTGAGGGTAGGATAGTTAAGGAAGGGGTGACTGCTCAAGATTGCACGTATTCAAGCAGTAACTAAATATGTAAATTTAATGGTGGTGTCTTTCTGTTACTTTTACATGAACTGCACTGATAAGTAGTGGGGATGCATTTTTTGGTGGGCTTTTGTGTTTAGTTATTTTTTATTTTCGTGAAAGTTTTAGTTTATTATGAGCTTAAGATACTAGATGCTGTTGCTTTAACGGCAGCTGTTGGTTTCAAGAGTGTTTTCTTCCTCAAATAGGAAATAATTTTATGGAGAAAAGCTCCTGAGAAGCTTAGGAAACAACGGACAAACTTCCACCAGCGATTTGAATCTCCAGAGTCACAAGCATCTGCTGAGCAACCTGAAATGTGAACTGGTCTAAGGTGAAAAACTTTGCTTCAGTGCTTCAGCAGGTTAAAGATGGCAGCAGCCTGTGGGAAAAGAAGGCCAGAATTCCCATTACAACTGTCTTCCTTCATCTTGCAGTGCTGCGTTTACCATGCTACTAAAGCGTTCTTCAGTTAAACATTCAAGTATGTATATACATTTAAAATAAAGTGCTTTCTCAAACACTGGAACTTTCTTAAGCTACTATTTTATACTGCACATTTACTTTTATTTGATAATGTTGTATGCACTTGGGTATGCAAAAGCTTAAATCTAGTTATTTCCATGCATGGTAGGCTGGTGTATTTGATTTTTGCTGCTCACCTCTACAGTGTAGGCTAAAGCATTTCCTGTCTCTCATGTTGTTTATTGCATGTTTGTTTCCAATGTTGCTTATTTGCTTTGTTTTGTTTTGAAACTGCATTAAGACACAATGACTAAATCACACTAAAAATCAAGGTTTATGGTGCATTTGTCCTAAAATCTCCTAATTGCTACGTTAGACAGGGTTTAACTGAAGCTGCATGTATGTGCACTATGGTTGGAGCCCTCAGACCAGTGGTTCTCAGAGGCTTTGCATCTGTCAGTAACAAAGAATACTGGGAAGCGTCTTTGGCCTCTCTCCCCCAGTTCTCTGTCAAACTTCTCTTTCACACGAGTTGCTCCTAACTTTTGGGGGCTTGTTACCCAGTAATTAGCGACTGTAGGGGTGTCATGAGTTCACCCTCAGGTAGTGAGCGGGTAAAGTATTTGAACATAGTTACCTTATTGATGAAGTAAATGCTGGTAATGTTGATTATTTTGCAAATATGTGAAACTGTGTTTCCTCCTGGCTTCATGATTCCACTGTCTTCACAGTCAGTGTCTGTACCTGTCCTGACAGGAGAGGCAGACTGTCCCCAAAGGACATCCTTCTGGCCTCCTAGAGCAAACGAGCTTTTGTGGTCTTCTGCAATGATACTCAAAGCCAGGCAAACCTTAAAACTCAGAAGCTTGTCTGGCCCAGCAGGTTGTTTGTCTTTATCATCATCTCGTAGGCATTTAGTGTTTGAAGAAGTAGCTTAAAGGAGTTAAGTGTTCACTGTGCGCACGGGGCGCGGCTCTGCTGTCAGACTGTGCCTTGGGCACAAGCCTGCTGTGAGGAAGGCAACTTGCACTTGTGGTTCTCTTGGCCTTTAAACCAAGGCTTCTCAGCTCCGGTGCAAGTGTCATTGGTAACCTTACTTTATGAGTAAGTAAATAATCCAATTACATTTCTGTAAGAACTGTTTTATTACTGCGGCACTTTGATAAAGCAGAGACTGTGTACTTTGTGCTAGGATACTCCTAACGCGGATATCTTCGGCTGAGAGCAAATCCAACTCCCTCATGTAAGTGCCTGTTCAGAAACTTAAAAGAATAAAGTTTAAAAAAAAAAAAAACCAACCAAATATTTTCATGGTCACTTGCATGTCGTAAACCTGGGAACGATGATTTTGAAAAACTTGATTGTACTTAACCAGCCTCAGATTGTGCAGCCATGTATAACGAGCGGGGGGAAGGCATCCCGAGTTGCTATTTGAATTATTAAACCAGCTGTATTCTCACTAAACCCGCCTGGTCTGTGTGTGAGGGGCGCTGCGCTCCCTCAGGGCTCCCGCCTGGGGGGGGGGGAACGGCGGGCGCGGCGCGGCGCATTCCCGGCGCGCGCGGGGCTCGCGCTCCGGCATGGCGGCGGCTCCGCTCCCCGCGCGCGCCCCGCCGCCTCCTCGGCGTCGTCCTCATCGTCGGCCTCCTCCGGGGACGGCGGCGCCTCCCGCGCCCCGGACACCTCGCTCTTCGTGCCCGTGCCGCTGAAGCCCGGCCTCGGCGGCGCGGCCGAAGAAGACGTGGGCGCCGAGCTTACGCGGCCCCTCGACAAAGGTGAGTGCGGGCGGCGCCGCGAGGGGACGGGGCGGGGTCCGGCGGCACCGGCCGTGAGGCCTCGCCCGCCCTCTGCCCGCCAGCGCTGCAGGCTGCTGAGGCCGCGCCTGGAGCGCTCTGGGCCGCTCAGCTCAGCTCAGGAAGGACGTTGGGACATTGGAGCTCGAGCTAGGGCGGAGAACGGCGCTGGGAAGGGCTGAGCAGAGATCTGACGGGCTGCGGGAGCTGCTGGGGCTCGGCCAGGAGAGGAGGCTCAAGCAATTCCTCGCCTTCTACTGCTCCCTGCCAGGAGGCTGCAGCCAGGGACTCGGGTTCTGCTCCTAGGGACCAGCAGCGGGACTAGAGGAAACGGCCTCAAGCTGTGCGAGGGGAGGTTTAGGTTGGACATTGGGGGGAGTTTCTTCACAGGAAAAGTGAATAAACATTGGAAGGGGCTGCCCGGCGAGGTGGTGGAGTCACCGTCTCTGGAGGTGTTTAAGGACAGGCTGCCTGTGGCACACAAGGTGGTGTTTGCTCATAGGCTGGACTCGATGATCGAAGTGATCTTTCCGCCTTGGTTGATTCTGTGACCCGGCTGAGGGAACTGGCCCCTGCTGCTCTCGGGTCCTTTCCTGGGCTCAGAAACACCCTCTCCCTTAAGAGCAGAGGGTCCTTCCCTGCAGCTTGTCTGACCTGTAGCTGATTGTGCCCGTGAAGGTCAAGTGGGATAAAGGCTGTTGGGTGAGATGACACCTGCATGTGGTGGGATTCCTGGAGCTGTGCTGTGCAGGGTGATCCGTGGGGGTGCCTTCCAGCTCAGGGTACTCTGTGATTGCCCAGGGCCAGTAGGCTTGCCCTGAGTGGAGGAAACTGCTGGCCGCTCCCTCCATTCTCGGGTTTGGTGCGGTCAGGGTAAAGGGGCTTGGCTTGGGGCGTGCCCGCAGCCAAACTGTGCATTCCAGAGCCATAGCTGCATCTGGACTTTAAAGACATAGCTTCCTCAAATATTGATGGTACAGACCGAAGAGATTGCCTGTGTGTGAGTGTGCCTAGATCAAAAGTGGGTGAAGTGACAGGACAAGGGGGAGTGGCTTCAAATAGACAGAGGGTAGGTTTAGATTGGGTGTTAGGAAAAAATTCTTCCCAGTGAGGGAGGTGAGGCCCTGGCATAGGGTGCCCAGAGAAGCTGTGGCTGTCCCATCCCTGGAAGTGTCCAAGGCCAGGTTGAATTGGATTTGGAGCAGCCTGGGATAGTGGAAGTGTCCCTGCCCATGGCTGGGGACTGGAGTGAGATCATCTTTAAGGTCCCTTCCAACCCAGACACTTCTGTGATCTTATGACTCCATGATCTTTTAAGAGTTGGTAAATAAGAGACAAGATCTTGATTCTTTTGATGTTTGCTGATCTGAAAGCATTAGGGGTGCAAATGGAAGTCTTTCATATCTTCTCATAACTAAGTGTTGTGATGAAATATTATTTATCTTAACTCCATAGTATAGGAGCATGGGCAAATTATCTTAATAGTTCAGAACTGTGGAGAGAAGAATATCTGGCCTTGAAAGCTAAAAAATCTCAGTCAGGATGAAGAATCCTGAACAGCTGTAATGCAAAAATCTGCGTTGTCAAACTTGTCTTTTACATGAATAGTGCATTCCTCAGGTGCTAATAAAGATGAATGATGGCTTCTTACTTGTACATTACCTGTTAGGTTGGATTTCTTCAAAACTACAACTAAAATGCTCTGGGAAGATAAGTACAGATTCTGTTTGGTCTTTGCTAAGTTGTTGAGAGAGAACAGATTGGCTAAAATGGTGTGTGCTTGCACAGGTGAAAATGAACTACTTCAGACAGCCTGATGTTCTTCCCCTGTGAGACTGGCAAGGAATAGCAGCCAGGTGACCTGTGGGGTGCTCATCTGGCTCTCCTTGCTGCTATCAACAATGTTTTGAAAAACCAATAATGTATTTTAAAAGTATTGGTATTTTGAAACCCAATAATGTTAGAGAAGGCTGGACAAGACCTTCTTGTAGCCATTTTAAAAAATGAAATAGTCTTCCTCTGCTTCCCCCTTCAGGTTCTGACCAAACACAGTGTTACGCATCTGGGTTTTTTATGTTTTAAATGAAGATAGTTTGTCAGATTCTGCTGCTAAGTACTGACTAGAATCAATAAAGATTTGTATTTATGAGCTTTCTCATTGCAGCTTGTGAAGAAACTTTGTTAGTGAGCATACTTGCAGTGTGAATCATCTTGTTAGCTTGTTACTTGCTCAAGTGAGAGTGATTATTTTCACACTAGTCAAACACCGTTATGAAGAGTAAAGGTCTTTTTAGAAGCTTACTTTATAAAGCCAGTTTTGTAAAAACTTCATGACAGACCTGGAATTAATTCACTGCTTCTGTTTCCCAGAACTTCATAGGAAGTGTACCTTGTGAGTGCTGATGGATGCTTTCAGTTTCAGTGTGTGTATCTTCTGTATCAGTTGTCATTGAATGTCAGGGCTTGGTAGATGGAAACATTTATTTCCTCTTAGTGAGGAAAGTCCACACGTTGCTTGGACTGGACAATGGGAGTCTAATAGTTGGGGAGGAGTTGCAAAATAAAGCACTTCAGCTGCCCCAGTGGTAACATACAGCCTGACTGCAGTGGATTGTTGGCATCAGAGATACAGGGAAATAACTCTAAAGTCCCCCTGCAAGCAGGATTGAAACATCTAAATGAATCTGATACATTGGAGACTAACTGAATGATTTCTGAACTTTACTGCAGTTGGGCTGTCGTTTTACAGAGAACCTTAGAAATGCTCTGAAAAGTCAAAGTAATTGAGGAGTAAGGGCTAAAACACAGCTCTAGAACGAGACAGTGGTAAACAAAGGGAAATTTCAAAGCAGGAGTGAATGGTAAAAAGGGTGGTGATTGAGACAGGACGCAGATGCTCTGAGTGTGTTTGTGCATTTGGATAAGCACACACGGGCTGCAATGCCAGCTTTGTTTTGTTTGGATTTACCTTATTGTTAAGAGAAGTGTTTGTGCTCAGGAAGGATCCTGACCTTGGGCAGCACGGTCCCAATGTCACGGGCCTTGGATAGAAACGTGTTTTGGCATTGACCTTTTAGTCTTGTAGGAAGGCCAATGGGCTGTGAGTTTAGCTGCGTGGCTGATGATGTGTTAGTTGCTAGAGCTTCTGTGGGAAGCTCTGAAGAGCACTGAGCCCTGTGCTAGCTTGTACTGCGCTGTTTTCCAGTCCGTCTTTGATTTCAGGGCCCTTGAACGTGAGTGTGGATGCCTTCCTAGGAAATGTA